TAACACTGATACACTACAAAATATGCGACAAATACCTGTAGAGACCGTTAGGATAAAGTTTGAGAGTTGGCAACTTGAAATACGAGTGCAGCAGAAGTTGGAGCAGTATCTGGATAGCACTCGTCGCAGCACTCGAGGAAGCTGCCTCAGCGCCTCACCGTCCACAGGACGCTCTGGCAAGCACCACACTCGCGCCTAATCCGTTCCATGCCCGCCCGCCCCCGCACTCGCCCAGCCCCGCCACGCACAGCGCACTCCTCGCGCCCGTCCCGCCGCTCCCGCTCCGCCCGAACCCTTGCCCCGCGCCCCCGCCCCTCTCACTCCAGGCTCACCCCGCCTCCGCTCCTACCCGCGTCAGCTTCTCCCTTTTGTGCGAACCCCGCGTCTACCGCGCCCCGCGCCCGTCCATTCCCCTTCCCATCTCGGCAGCCCGCGCCTTCTCCCGGCGGCGGCGGCCAACAAGATGTCTCAACTTGGCCAAAGAAGAGGCGCAAGACAAACGGTCGCCCCTGTGCGCGGAGGGGGGCGCGCGCGCTTTCTAATAGAGACAGATGTTTTCGCCCCAATTTCCACGCAGATAACGCGAAGAACGGCGGCGAATGAGTTCCGTGAACATTCACACGCTTCACATTTCAGTTTGTTTGATTTGAGATTTGTTACATAAAGTTTCGAGAAGGACTTCGATATTAATCTGTTGGAATTATATTATAAAATGTTCATATTCTTACCCAATTAATTTTATGTAATTCAAATTTGAGCTGACGTTTTCATTGAACCAATAAACGGCGCTTTCTATTTCATTCGTCTGATACAGCGAAATGATGTCAATAATGGATTTCGAAATCAAATCAATTCTTGAATTTGACTAGTCGAATGACTCCAGGCGACCGATCTGACAATGAAGGCCACATAATCAAAAGCTTTTTCTGATGATATGCACATATAGGTAAAGAGAGGTAAAGGTAAAGACACATAAAGGTAGGTAATAGGTAGAGACATCGACTAGACTTAATAAAGGACACATAAAAGTAAGTAATAGGTAAAGACATCGACCAGACTTAATAAATGATTTCCTTGTCTTTATATGAACTGTACTGTACGAATTTCCCCAATTTACGCCTGATTTTGTTTTGGGAGGAACATTAAAAGCATATTAGAGTTAATTTTAACGAATGAAAAGCAAACGAACCCAAAAAGGAAAAAAAGAATTGCGTAGCAGGGGAAAAACGAAAAAGAAGCGAGAGTGACGCGCTTGCACTGCGAGAGATTCATGAGTAGAGGAGATGCTCTTGCGCGATTTGTGAGTGTAATTTGGTCTACTGAACAACTTATTTTCCAGCAAGTTTCCACATCGAAAATATATTTAACACTAGTAAATAAATATAATCAGAGGTAACAATTAGTTACGGATGTCGAAGTTAACAGATGATAGAGAAGTCATAGATAATGCCGGAAGTAGTTTGGAATGTAATATCGCGAAATTGTAAAGTACATTTGGTATTAATGAATTCATTACTAAACCCGATTAGAACAACCAAAACAAAATGGAAAATGTGTATAGTATTTGGTTTAACAAACAGCAGATTACATTACGCAATTGCACGGATTACAGTTGGTGTGAGATTGGTTAAAGGCTCACATAATGCTTACCTTTCATTTGGCAAATTAACAATGAGCGCAAGAATAAAATTAAAAAAAAACAACGATAAGTGGAAATAGTAGCCAGTGCGACAAAAAATAATCTGTATCCCAGGATTTCTATTCCGTAAGTTCTCTCACTTCCACTACCAATCTACTTCCAATATAAAATTGAAGTAATTTAATCGCCAGAGACAACGTAGCGCTCTCCACGCACCTGCGCTTTCATTCACGCTCTGATGATTAGGGACAAACGGGAGTTCAATGCGGTTATCGCAAGTTCACAGTTCAAAGGTCGTATTAGACAAGAAGATTCGTTTATGATTCATCTCAGCGGAAGTGATAATTCAGCCATTTTGTATCAACAGCACCAGTGACACGGAAATGCCCATTAACCTACAAAAATTATTTCACGCGATTTATTACATTTTAAAAATAAATCACGTACTACACCGTTAATTCTGAAATCTAGGGGGCCAGGGACGCGGCAGTTTCGTCCCGCACCTTGGGCGATTAGTCTCTCAGCTAGAACCAAGCAAAGTGCAGGGAACCCGAGAGGGCAAGGGGCGGACAAGGCGCCCTGGCGACCCGAGCGCCTCTGACAGCACCTCCCGGGCGAGGGCGGCTGCAGTCGCCTCCAGCCACCTGACCCGGCCGCCCCGCGCCTCAAAGCGAGCACGCACAAGATGCGGAGGGGTCGGGGCGGTGGGGCGGTGCTGTCGACGCGGTAGGTCGTCGGGCGGGGGGAGGTAGGAGGTGGGGACATCACGAACGGCTCCACGGTGATTGCGGCCAACGGAGGCTGCGAGACCGGCGAAAGAAAAGGGCGGGGAAGGGGACGCCGCGCGAATTTCTTCGCAATTCCCAGAGACGGTACGGAACCGTCGTTAGAGAATCCGGGACGAGCGTGGGGATCAGACGTGGCAGGTAAGCCACTGCACGAAGTAGGGGGTGGGGCTCCTGTCGGCAGGTAAGAGTGTTGCCATGGCCGGTGCTTTAGTCAACCGAGGGCGGGGGGGCAGCGGGGGCGAGGGAACTAAGCACAGGAGTGTAGGGCGGAGCAAGCAAGGCCAGAGCCCGAACACGCGGCGGGCAAGCGCGGCGGAGGTCTCGGGGAGGTGACAGTGGAGACGCGAGGGCGGGAGGAGGCTTGAGCCCGAGGCATAGTCGGAGCGACTCAAGGACGGACGTTGGGGGAGGCGGCAGATGCGGACGATAGCGGCTGGAGGGCGGAGACGGGAGCGACGAAGGCGACTACAGCTTTGGGACGGCGAGGATCCTCAGAGCGGAGAGGATGTTGTGGGCGTGGGCCAGGCTGGCAGAGGAAGATGGCGCGAGGGAACCCCATGCGGGCGGTAATTACAAGGTGACAGCCCCCCTCTCCCTCGTCCCTTTGCGAGCTCGTTGCAGCAGCCGCACGCACCGTCCGCCGTCGCTCGCTCGACAGCCAAGAACGTGCGACTAATTCGAACAGCCCCGCGCAAATTAATAATTACCCCGGCGGCCCAGGGGGTCTCCGGGCTGGCGGGCTCGCAGGGTCACACGACAGGGATTGGCGCAGTTAAAAAAAAGGGTCTGCTTGCTCTGAAACACGGAAGAGCCAGGGCAATCATGGAAAAAGAACGAAGTTCCGAATACGTGAAATATTAAAAACTTTAGTCGTACTCTTCTGGGCGAGAAATTCACGGTGCATTTAAACCAGATGAGCTAGGGGATCTCTTTCTGAGAAATGTGTGGAAATTAAAATGGGAAATGTGAGTTAATATTTCGTATACACCTCCTGCTTAATGCCCCTCACGGGGATCATTTTTATCATTCCAGTGAATTAAAAAAAGGAATTGAACCTGCAAACTTAAATCCATGTATACAAATATTTCAAAGAGGAAATGCATATGATCTTAAGAACTTATCTTCATCTATTTATCTTCATCAATTACATGTTTGCAACACAGGTAATTAAAACGCGTTATGAGCGACGTATCGTATTTATTACTCTCATTCCAGCTTCAAATATCTAATAACGAAAAAGTGAACTCAAAAAAAAAAAAAATTATATTGTCAGAGCATTAAAACAAAGTTTTTCAATATGAAAAGCAATCCTTAATAATCACTCATAATAATTAAATAGGAATATTTACTTTCATATCCAATTAGAACCTTTTATAGCTGATTTTCCTGTATTTCAGTGTCCTGTTAAGAAAAATATGTGTTGATGAGGGAATATTAAAGCTACGAGGAGAAGTACGACATAAGTAATCAACATTATAAAGTTTTCTTAATTAATTCAACAAGCAAGTAAGCGTTTTAACCATGATCTTCTATAAACCTTCAGCATTTGTTCATTAAAAACCCAGCAAACTCCCTGTTCCTGCCCCCGATGGTAAAGTCACAAATAATTAACAAGAGAGAGAGATTCAAGGCGCCGTGCTCTTTGACACACCTGAAAGAGCCGGCCCGGGAACAATTTGAGCGCGGTCGTCACCCCCCCCCGTCGCACGGCGCAAGGCCTGGCGGCCCCGCGGCCGCCCAGGGCCGTAGCGCAAACGCGGTGCGGCGGGGCGGCCCCTGGGGAACGCCCCCGCCCCCGCCGCTCGCTCTTCTTTAACGCCGTCCACATCAGGTGCGAGTCGCCGCTCCCGCAGCCCTCATCTGATTTCCATGACAAATGCGCCGCCATAACGCCTCCCGCCCGCCCCGCGCCCTCTGCGTGCGGATCGCTTACCCCGCGCGGGACAGTGGGCCGAAAGGGCACGCAGAGCATGTTTTCTACAAGTTCGGGTCAATCATTTTTAATGGATAAATGAAAAGGCGAAGCTACACAACGAATTGGTTGAACACAAATGTGTCGTATAAAGTACCGATTGTGCGGGTTGCACAACACAGAACAGTGGCACGGCAGCAAAGCGAAACTAGCATATTTTAAACACGCCCGCACATATAATCCGATAAACATTCGGCAAACGTGAAGCCCATTTTCAGGCAAACAGAAACCAATCCATTTAAAACAAAGGCAAATTTTAATGAAAAACATACTGAAACAATGAAACCTTCAGAGTGCTGGTAAATATACAATGAAATTGGTCAGGTAAATACACTCATTCATTATTCACACATCCTTATCAAATAAATTTATAATTCTTATTCAAATGATGAAGGACGTTTCAATGCCTCTTTTAAAATATTTTCATTTCACACAGAGAACGCTTTTTGCTACATTTACACTTTTCTTACGCCACTTCGTACGAAATGCTTCGTATTTTCAAAGAATTTGGCTTCGTATGGATAATTTCACATGGCTGCATTCGACAACTAAAACTTCAATTTTTCCTGTCTACCGTACAAATGCACATTTTTGGAAATGTCTACTTACATTTTGTTGTTCCCATGCTGCATGTTGTTTCGGCCCACTTTGCGCCGCCCTCGGCCACCCCGCGCCCGCCCCCGCCGTTACCAAGACGGATGGCCTCATGCCTCACGGCGCCCGCGTCGCCCCACTGGGCTGCCCCCGCCCCTCCCCGCCCCGCTGCGCCCAAAGTAAATTCCTCACCCCCTTCCGGCGCAGGTCGGCCGGATCATCTTTAACCTGAGGCTGAAGCGCGCGCCCCCGCGTCGCCCCCGCGTCGCCCCGGCGTCTGGCGGCAGCAGGGGGGGGGGGGCTACTGTGCAAATGAGGAAGTCTTCTAGAATGAGTTATCGTATGCTTGATTGTTCTCGTGGAATCTTACAAGGAACTCGAGGGGTTTATTGGACGCTTTACTAACTTCTGCGCGCATGTAATTATCTTCGGTTTAAAAATGGCGAACCATCAACCTCTTTACTCCACAAGATTCTTGACATTTGAAATCACTAGAAATCGTAAGAAATTTGTTAAGAACTGGACAGATCTTGCATTTTCATTATTTGATGCTAATTTTGTTTGTATTTGAAACAAATTTAGAGTAGAAATCTATTTCAGGAGTGATGAAGCAAGTTCAAGCGTTCATCAAAAATTAAGAGTGGCGCATTATAGAGCTTCTGGTTACCTCCTAATAATATAATAAAACTATAGGACCGAGAGTGATTTCAATTCATTTCAGTTATTCAGTTGACAGAGCAGAAGGAATCATTTTGAGATAGTGCGAGTGTAGCAGATCCGTGAACTTAGAAAAATGAAATGAAAACAAACACGCAAATTTTTTCTGGCCTCAGAAACCTTACAAGCTGAACTTAAATTACAGGTAGTGCAGTTATTTTTTACAGTGTAATTGGGCAGTAGTAATTCGCTATATTTTGTGTATTTATTCTATATTAGTAATTTGACGATAAGGTTGGGATAGGTATTAACGTACAGCGTAACATTTGATATTTTTTTAGAAAATACAACAACCGCACAATGGTATATGAGAGGAATTTTATTTCCATGCGAGATCGAGTTTATTTTCTCTTTTCTAAACCCAACAGCAAGGACCAAACGATACGGTTCGCAGGAACTACGGTTGCAAATATATCAGCGAAATTAGAGATACATACTTTCATTATATGCGTTAAAATGCTGTTTTAGTAAGCGACTGCAACTGACTCAAAAAAGCGCCGAAAGGGCGATCCAGCATTCCACTGTCTTGCTTGCACCATCATTCTACGCTATTTTTTGTCGCTAAGGATTGAATGCGGTGACATAATAGCCGAAGAATCGTTAATTGCCGCAAAAAAGAAATACTTTTTTAAAATGTGTACAGATGAAAAGCACCTGCTTCACTTAACTTATACGGTTGAGCGCGTTGTCGTGAACGGGGCCATTCGACTCACGATCCTCCTAGACGTCTCTGTAGGGGTGCGGCTGTATTTCTCTCCTGTAGCGTCATGCAGTCATTTCGTTGCAAGTAAAGCCGTTTAAGCACTCCAAGCACAAATGGTAGGGTGATGACGCTCTTTATGTACAAAACGATACCAAAATAGGCCGCTCGGGCGGTTGTAGATATGTAAGCGATGATAAAATAACATATTTTCGTTAAATGCAATTTTTTCTAACGAACACCCCTTCTCCTCGAGCGATTTTTAAAATGTATCGCGCAAACGTTTTAAAATGTGCCACTACGAAATTAATAAATACAAGAAAACATTAGTATAGGATTGCAATATTTGATTCTACATAACGCGATGTCTCAAAACGTAACAGTAAATCTAGCTAATGAAACTCTCTAAGTTATTAGTGTCTGTACACAGCACTTTACTAAAAATAATCTCTCTAGAGCAGTTTGTGTACAAATTATAAATTTCTTTCACTCGGTTTTCTTCATCCTTGAAAAAAATATTTACTTCATATTTCTTTGACATAGAAAAAAAGTATTTCTTTCCTTTCTCACAGGCTCTCACTACTCTTTGACAATTAATAAAACGTGAATGGAAATACAACTATAAGACGAATATAAAATCAAATATGAAAAATACACGAAATTAATCTTGATGTTGCAGAGGCTAAAAACTAAATTGGAATATTGATACATATAAAGAGTTCCGTCGGGTGAATGAAGTCAGATAGGTAAGATGCCTAAATACCCCTCAAACGCTGAGCTCTTGAAGAGAAAACCACGTGAATATTAATACTACTACTAATAATAATAAAAACAAATTACAGTTCGGTACAAATTGCGGGAGAGAAAAATAGAAATCCACGATATTGAACAAGTTTCAATGCGGTCTTAGCGTCGACGGATCGAAAGAAGGAGAAGAATATGAGTACTGGCTATTATCTTAATTCCCGGAATCAACATTTCAAGAACAAATGAAATGTTCTTAGTGTAAGTTATAAAAAAACCAGAGAAGAAACGGCATGTTGCCGGATTTACGTAGGTTTTTCCCCCTCACTGCAGCCCCAGGCCGTGCGCCGAGCTCTCTGCCTCGACATTTTCCCGCCAGTCTCTACGAGTGCGGCAGCAGCGGCACCGAACGAACGGCCCCCTTAATCATCGCCCTTACACGTCTTTATTTCTTTAATGCACTGCCACCGCTCCGCACAGAGAGCTCGGGAACGAAAGGGAAAAAACGCTGAAATCCGACAAAAGGATCATAACCGACGGCCATAACAACCACGCCCCGATTCTATGGGGCAAGGGAAGGAAAAAGAACGCCGCCAGTTTTCACTACGCGAGGAGAAATGGATGAGGGATCGTGCAAGTTCGCACCGGCGGCGGCGGCGGCGCGTGTTCGCCCGGAGGCAGAAGAAAGCAGAAACGAAGAGCGCGAGGGCCCGCGCGGCCGAACTGAAATACTATTCGAGGACCATGCAATTTTTTCTCCAGCGAGATAAATATTCAAAGATCATTCATTCATATCTGTCTTAATGCGAGGGCAGAGATCCTAACAAGATTCTCATTTTTCTACGCTTTACGAAAGTGTTAACAAATTACGATTTTTGCCAACAACTAGAAAATTCTCGAAGTTGAGTCAACGGTTTTGAAAGTATTTGCCTTAAATTTTAGAATTGTAATTTAACGACTTTCAAAAATACAAGATAATGGTTGGATTTTAACCGAAAGGCCAAATTATGTTGACAAGTGGTCGATATATCACCAACATGTGTTGTTAATAATAGTGGAAATATAATAATACTAAAGAACATGAAGAAAGAAAGAGACGCTTACAGTTCCTAAAATTATATCGAAACAGGATCGTTATATTAAGACCTAACAAGAAATTTGTCAACAAAACACGGTGTCTCCGATAAATATTTCAAACGACTAGGGTATGTAGTACGGTCAAAGATCACTTTTTTGCCAACGTGCAAGCATGGGACGAGAAATCTCATTGAACGAAATTGTGCACGACGCCCCTGTTCGCTACGCAACTCAGCCAGCAGTTTGGCAAACAAACAAAACCTCAGAGAATGGCCCACTCTTTGGCAATGAAAAATACAATACTTCGTTCATTTTTGCTCAACTTTCACTAAAGAATTGTTCGATTTGACACCCGTGAGACTTGCTGGCAAAAAGTTAGCATGGACGCATACCCTGAATCAAGCCAGATCAATTTTTATATTATGTGAATTAACCCGTGAAGCGTTCTCTGAACTAATAACATTTTTTTAAATTATAAAATCCATTAATTATTTCAGTATTTAGAGGATTCACACAATATCTCAAAAATCTGTGGAATAAATGTCCCCTCATATGGCAGAGTCGAATAAAGAACTCGCGCTTTGTAATCTTTTTGTGTTTGGTTCGGCACGCACATGCTCCTTAGTGGGTTTACCCTTGAGGCCAAATAGAAGAACAGAAAGCAGGTGGCAAGGCAAGAAAACACCGCGAAGCCCACGAGAAGAACCGGGAAAGAGCGGAGCAGCCGCGAGCGCTTCGGCGCGGCCCGGTAGGGCGACGCGGGCGGAAATGAGCCATTCAGCGGTGACGTCACGCCGCGCGAGGCCCTCGAAATCTATCGAGATAATCGATCGAGAGCCGTCGGCTTCCGGCCCGGAAGCGGTCGATCGTCGCCGCTGCGGGGCCTCGCCACCGAGTGCGAGTTCTCGCCGCCCTGCTCCCCCCCCCCTCCCTCGCTCCACCCGCCGCGCCACGGCAGTCAGCGCCGGGTCAAAAGGGGGATTAAGAGACGACCGAAGATATCATTTTCCCTCCGTTCTTTTTCAAGTCCTTTTTTCCTATTTCAGAAGTCTGGAAATTCTCGTGTTAGAACAACGAAAGACGTTTATAGTGAATCCCTTATATAGGAGCTGAGGTAACGAAATGGCATATTATCTACACACAAAGGAAGGCCGAGGGCAAGTTGAGGTATTTTAATAAATAAGAATTTATCGGTACGTTCGTATCGATCATTAAGAGAATCATTAAATTTAAGTTACAAAAATGTTAAATTTTATCATCATCCAATGTTTTGTTTTCTTAGACAATGTTAAATGTATATTTTACGCATATTTTCCACAAAATCGCCATGCTCTGTTTCAAACGCAACAACCTTCGGCGGGCGTTGATTGATGTGATGGCTCCCGCAAATGTTGACAAATGAGTTGGAGTGGCAGGTAAGCAAGGGGTTCAATTTGTCACGGATTAAACGCCAGAACAATTCAATCGAGAGGAATGGGAATCGAAATTGATTACTAATCGAAAATGGTTAATCAAGACACACAGGATCTTGGATTTGCAGAGGTAGACATGCAGATGAGAATGCACAAGGGACAGGTCACATCCTAACTGTTGAAAGTGATATGGATCATGATGTTCAACAGCCCACGCTACATGAGATCAGATCTTCAACGACCAAACCCACCCAAATTCCGCCGAATTCATGTCGAATAATTACGCAAGGTTTAAAAGTGAATCGTAAATCATAAACATTGCACGTCAATTAATACAAGTATTGAAATAATAATGATAATATAATAATAATAATAATAATAATAATAATAATAATAATAATAATAATAATAATTCTAGTTCTCCTACATGGAAACTAGTACTTCCGTTGACTGTCTATTGATTGGAAGGTCTTGTAGAGAGATTACTCTGAGAAGACACCGCTTTGACAGCTTCTGTT